TCTTCATTGCTTCGCGACGACCGCGGTCACACTGTGGTTACTGTGGTATGCATTTGTGTGTTTGCGGTTTCAGAATTAATAAAATATACCAAATATTAAGTGATCAGACTATGGGTGTAGGTACATACTAACTAGTGATGCCGCGAGACGAGAGATTCTCGTCTCTCGTCTCGTCTTGTCTCGTCTCGAACGAGACGAGAGAGACATTTTCTCTCGAAAACAGATTCGAGACGAGACGAGAGAGTGTCATCTCTCGTCGAGAATTTCTCGGTCCTCTCGAGCTCTCTCGGGCTCTCTCGAACAATTTTCTCTTTGCTTATTTGAAATTTTCAATTGCTTATTGTAACTTAAAATTTTAACATATTAGATTTCGAGATAGTCAAAAAGTTAACTATAACACACCTATTCTATATATATTAAATGGTAACAAATGATACTTGTGTTATTAGGATTTTATAAATAGTGATTTATAAGAAAAAATATTTATAATTTCATTTATTTAAAATTTATACAATCATTTCTTATATTTAACCCATTCTGCTTTTCTGAGGTTATTTTTGAAGATAAGTTGAAAATTTTTAAGCATTTTTTCGAAAAACTGTCATAGAAAAGGTAATATAAACGAATGTATTTATATAAAGTGAGGACGAAAATTATACCCTACACTATTTTAACTTCTAAATGAAAAAAGATAATGACAAAACAAAAACGAGGTAAAACTCAAGAGATATTATATTTTTGTTATAACGAGATGCACTTTACTTGGGATTTACTAGCTTCAAATTTTCTAATGAAAACTAGAGTCATGTGATACCTCATTTGAAAGATATTTTCTATATTTTTAGGTTCATGTAAACAGATTTAGGTTTTTATGTTTTTACAGAAATTACAGTAAATAAATTCATAAAGCAGGTTAAATTATTTTTTTTTATTTACCGCTTCAACCACAAAGGAACATTAGAGAAGGTATAATAACTTATAAATGCTGTTTTTTACAATAGTATACAATGGATAATTAACATTTTGGCTAGTACAGAGTAAATGTCAGTATCTTTTATAAATTTAAATAATTTTTTACTGTTAGAGGGATTTAACAATGTTTTGTAGCTGGTACTTTGTTCTTATAGACAGACATGTTCTGGGCCTTTACTAATAAGTTACATTCTTGATAACTCTCATATTAACAATTATTGTTTATTACTAAGGAAACGCTTCTTGTATTTACTAAAATAAATAAATTAAGAATATCAAAGGTGTTTTAAAAACCACTTGACGTATTAAATTTTTCATAACTTCTTGGCAAAAAAAGCTTATTAAAAAATTCTCTTCTAACATTATCTAACATTTCTAGGATTATTGCGGCACACGAGGATGATCAAGAATGTAATTTTTGTAAAAACAAAAAATGTTAAAACTGTTTGCTTGGACGTAAATATAATCAAAATATCTTTCAAATGAAATATTACATGACTTTACTTTCCATTAGAAAATTTAAAGATAGTAACGCTCTCTATTTTACGTCTTAAGTAAAATGCATCTCATTATAACAAAAATATCATAATGTTTCTCTAATTTCACATCGTTTTTGTTTTATGTCTCTATCTTCTTGCATTTTGAAAACATACTACAAAATGCTTTCATTTGACATCGCAGGATTGCATTAGAAAAATTCTAACCTTCAATTTAACTTCTTCCCCCCCTCCCCAACTGACTTACAATACAAAGTATTTTCATTTTTAGTTAACGCCTAATCAGGGCCACTTATTACTCAAATTTCAATTGTAAAACGACTGTGACAGACAGAGAGAGACATAGGTGTTTCTTATTGCCAAATTTGGGTACTAATGCGCAAATTACCTGGAAAATTATTTGTTTCTGTCCTAAAATTTTTTTTCATGTTTGGTCTTTCTCAAATTTAAATTTGATATTGTTTTATCACGAGAGAAACGAGACGAGACAAGACGAGAGAAAGGCTCTCTCGAGCCAGAGAAGCGCCTTCTTGTCGAGACGAGAGAACAGTTTTCTCTCGCCCTACGAGACGAGACGAGAGAAGCCACTCTCTCGTCTCGTCTTGTCTCGCGGCATCACTAATACTAACTAGGCTAGGATCGGTTGGATAAAAATATTTTTTCTGTTTCTGTTAAGATTACTTTTAAATTAGATACTAAGTATAGAGATTGAGACTTTCGTTTGGGGTTCCAATTTAGTGTTAAATTATTAATTTTACATGTTCATATTGCAGAAATATAATAATTAATCTAATTAGGCATGTTAAGGCAACAATAGGTACGTTTACATATTTTGTTATTTTTATAAACCTAATTTAGCCAACCGGGCGGTACATTGCATTCAACCATATAACAAACGCATTCATGAAAATAATATCCCATTCGTTTTATTTAGAAAGTCTGTAACGCTGTGTAGCGTTTGCAGACTTCACTGATTGCATTAGGATTGGTATCAGGAACTGATCCCGGGATCAAGTATTTGCTTGCTTGTATGGGATCAACTCCAAACTGATCTGTGAAAAAATCGGGATCAACCATCACTATTATGAGGTGGTCCACAAGTGTCCTAGTGACAATTGGGGTATTTACCGCTGATAGCTCCAGTCAGAGGAAATGTAGTCCGTTATTTAAAAGTTCTTAAAAAGGCGCCAATATATTTTTCCTCTGAATACTCCCTCTGCTGAAAACCAGCCAACAAAATAACAAATTGGCTGTACACAGGGTGGAGGTCGAATAAATACCACTAGACAAACAGGATCAAATAAAACGTTTAGTTGGCTCTCTCTTTAATTAAATTTAAAGATGGTTATGAAACTATATTGGTCGGCATTATTACCAACCTGAATATACATTATTCAACAAATTATTATCCCAAAATATGTACAATCGTTATTCGCAGATAACAGTGTTATCGAACACTAAAATTCTACTACATAGTTATAAAACTACATAACCTCACAAGGTTTAAACTTTCTAAATCCGATTAGCTTAGAATAAATGAACTAGGATACCCAAAATCACTTAACACTAAAATAATAAAATAATGTATGAGCTCCTAACGTGTTAGTTTACCTTTAGTTACAAATATACCAAATAAACCAAGGTGTATACTAATTATAACACGTTTACAGGACCCAATCCCTTTGATCACCATATAAATAGTTAAGAAACAAACATGGCTCGATACATTGAATGTTCTTGAGTAGATTTCAGCTGAAGGCTGTTTAAAATGTAACACATAAATACCTCAATGGTACCAGATTGATGGAACTCACCAAACTCCGCCGATACACCTATCTTATCAGCTGACCGCCGCATCAGCTGATACTACTTCGCACTTGAAAACGCTGACTTCTTAGTAGCCTAGAACTCTTAGTCACCAACAAGAGCTTGGGGCTCCACACAAAATTGGGAGATAAACGACAAACCAAGCCAAGACCGAAAGGCGTTACAGAGAGACGTCACAAGAGATACGTAACAAGTGGGGCGGCACTAAGGCTATACAAAAAATTACGCTAATATAAGTTCCAGATTATGGCAAATCTAATCCTAGAATTTAATCAACATGAATGCCACGTTTCAATACTATAAAGTATCGAGATGTACTCTCAAATCTCCGCTAGTCGCTGTAATAAATGTTAATAATAAAATTAACTAGTTTTTTGGAAATCAACTAAAAACAAATGTACATACTCACTAAATTCATATAACAATCCATCGAATAACACTGGGGCCTTATATCAAATAACGATCACGGCGTGCTGAATAAATGAAGTTAAATTAAATCCCTAGCAGGTTCCAATTTGAAGAATAACAAAAATACGCAGTTCAACTGCTCAAACACAAATTACCAAATTATTTAAAATGGATTTACTGTATGATCCCTTCACGGTTGGCAAAGATTACCAAATCACAATAAAATCCAACTATATCACTTCATTCCGCCATTCACACCCCTGTTGCCTTTTTATCACCTCGAGTTTTGACAATCCCTACTGCCACTGACAACTAACATGACAATGAATATTGACTAGATTAATAAACCGAAGTAATACGAGTAATACGAAAATTAGGTTCCATGAGTGCCGCAACACCAAATACACAACTGTATACCCTGTTGGCTAGAAAAAAATCGAACCTTTACAATGAAACAAAAAAAAACTAAAATGACGCCAAACATTTAAAAAACACTGTATAAATATGGAAAAAATTTACTTACCCAGGCCAAGGGGTTTCCTTATATTCTTAACATATGGCTTTTGTTATTTATGCGGTTAAAGAGACCTAATTTGTACCAGTCTGAGATATAACATTATGAACAAATTAATATTAAATAAGTCCTTGTCAAACGAGGCTTGAATTATGTATGCAGCAAAATAATGTATCCCTTTTTTTCCTTACAGGATTAAAAATAAAAAAAAATTTAACGTTTATACCTAATTTTGTCAAAAGAACAATAAGTGGTATAAAAATAAATATAGCTAATTAAATTATTACATACCTGGTTAAGGGTAAAATCACTTATCAAAAAGCTCCACGTGTAGTGTAAAAAAATCCTTCTACAAACGGAGTAATCCAGAGAATCTCTACAAGTATTCCTCACAATTGGTAACTCGGAAAACTGAACCCGTTCTCGGGATGGTAGCACTATAACCGTGAAATTCCAGTAGTACCCTTTACAACTTTAACACACGAGGAAGCTTCTTTAAAAAATAAGACGAAAGTAACCAGGAAGTCGCAATTTAGCCATAAGCAGAAAAATTATTTAGAGAATCCATCAGTAGATTTTCACTATCTTCTTCTTTTATTATCTTCTAAAAAACATCATTTTTCATTTTCTTTGTGTCCTCTTTTTTCTTAAATTAAAGCAGGACAAAACGAGCACGCTGCTTAAGATGTTATACACACAATATTGGAGCAAATGTGCAATGAGGGACAAAAAGAGTGAAATTGTTTTAATTTGATAGTAATTAATAATGTTAATTATTTTAGTTTTTCTCCGAGACTGCGTACAATCCAGCTTCCAACCAATCAACCTATGCAGATATCCCACCACCAGTGGACAAACACACAGCTCAACAGATCATATCGAAGAGATTAGCGCGTGTTCCAAATGAATTTCAAGTAGACGCCTTTTCTTGGAGATCTTTACAACATCCTTACGTAGCCACTGAGCCAAGACCTGAATACGATAGAGGACCTCATAGTGCCGAAAATTTGTTACATAACGTTCCTAGGAGAAGAAACCAACAAGAAATTTATTGTGAGATACATCCTCATGACACGGAAAGAATCGGAAGGTCCAGGGCCGCACCCCAGGTGAGCTATTTTTAGATTTCACCTTGATTTAGGAGCAATAGTTTAAAATTTCAAAGTTGTGTCTAAATCATGTTTTTCTAGGTCCCGTTGTATAAAAAGATGGGTCGTAGAGCTAGTGAAGGAAACATTTTGTCTGATTCAGATCGATATCTCTCAGAATTTAACAGCATAAATCCAGTAACACAAGAGGACTACAACATGAAGACTGGATACAGAAATAATAATTACAATTCCGAATCGGGCGATTTCTCAAAAACCGCTAGGCTTAGCTTAGATGTTGAAAGAAGGGAATCTTCATCTTCACTGTCAGGTAAATACATTGAAACATTTATGATAATTGAGAATTGTATAATTTAATATTTGTATGTAGTCAAGTTTGCACAATTAATGTGCTCCTGTTTATTATCAATATTGGCTTTATGTTTCTTCAAAGAACTGCATTTTCCATTGCGATACTTACTCAATCAGTTCTGTCCAACGTAATTACAAAAATCATGAATAGTCTCCCTTCTATCTTCTTGTCTAGGATGAGATCACGAATTTCAAGATCATTTTTCCAATATTTAGAGTATTAATCAATTTTTTTTTATTTCTGTTCTAGTTGACAGCAGTAAAGATAGTTTAGCTTCGTTTGGATCAAATTCAACACTCACCGGCCACGAAACCGATGACTCGGCCATTATGGACAGATTTAGGAAAAGCGTCCAACAAAAAGAAGCGTTCCTAAAAAATCCCGTTAACGTTAAGGAATTTTATGGAAGGCCCAAGAAATTAGAAAAACAAGTCTGGCCGCCCGTCGAACGAGATAAAGATTCACCTTCTAGAAATAATTCGAGACCCAGTCACCAAAATGTTATAAGAGTGAAGCACGATATCGAAAATGAAAGAGATTTATGTGGACCGGGAAATCAGAACGGTCATCCAGGATACGGTGGGGCTGTGAGTAATGTCCCGCACCAAAGAGGCGTGACTTCGCCCAGAGAAAAGGAGAATATGAATTTAGACAGGATTTATGAGGCTTCAACGGCTCCTGGAGGCTTTGATAGTATGGAAGGAATGAACGGTTCTAATGCTGAAGAGGCCTATTACGACGAGAGAAGGTATGAACAAGTCTTAATATAAACTAATGGTAAATAGTATTTTTTACCAACGATTGAATTTTTGACAACAATTTAAATTCCTTGCTTGCTGTGTTTAATTAATTTCTTTGTTGGTATGCATTCCAAATATTCTTCTTGACCACCTCTGTTGATACGTTTCATAAATCCAAACCAGATCAACTGCATTCTTTTAATCTCATATATTTTGTTCTTTTTCCATCATTTGTTTAATTTCTATGTGTGTGTTCCATTTCAAGATATCCACAGCCTCATCTTAGAATTTAAATTTCCTTCAATAAACATGTTTCTTAATTGTGTCTTCAATTTCCCACACTTTTGTTCCGTAAATCATGTTTCTCCCACAGAGCAATTGATTTAGTGCTCCAATAATTATTTCTTTGTTTTTGTAATCTGCTACCATATGGCTTGGCTGCGAAGACATTTTATTCTGCAACGTACATTTCAAAAAATAATTCATTGCTCTCGCTAAGTCCTGTATTTTTACATTTTATGCTAGATTCGTTTAGGTCTAAGTAATTTTTAGATAAAGTACATGAAAAACAGCTTTTCTTCTTAAACTCTGTACATGTTATTCCCAATTTTAATTTTTGCACTTATTCTAGTAATATTTTCTAAATGTGTTGATTATATTGGATCCAGAGTGATCCACAAAAAAAGGATCTAACCTAGGCTATGGCCGACAAAGAAATATATATGAGTCATGAACGTAATTCCACACTGCCTCGAATTATTATTGTTATTTCTATTTCTAGTTATATTTTCAGTATAATGAAGGTATCAACTGCGAGTCATCTTACTCTGAATCTAACCTGTTCTTCTGATTGTTTTTCTTTAATATCGTCATCTATTATTAATTTCGGATAATCCTATGATATACTTCTCTGCAGTTTTATCTGATTATTCCTGAAGTCTAGAAAATTTCCGAGTTTTGTAGAAGATTTAGAATAATGTGCTTGAATATTAAAGTTCATAAAACATAAAACTCTTTATTTCTATTTTGTAGATTGTCATACAATATGCTTACATATTTGCTTACTAGAACAATGTCTTAACTCATACCGAAATGTGCTAGTTGAAAGATAGTAATGAAGTACATTTAAAAAATACCCCTGGAAGATTCTTTCTGGTGAAGATTGGTACGCAACTTAGTTAAGTTACGCCCTTCTAGAATCGGTTCAATGAATGTTATGACGTGTGATATCGGCTGATGTAACTTTTCATACACTTGTGTAAAAGTTGGCATCAGAATTTTTCTCTTTATAATTGGATACATCGGGCGTGACTTTATTTTAAATATCTTGTCACCTGCACAGAGGCGTAATAAGTTTTTATTTGCGGTTTAAAATATATATATTTTTATTAATTCTCCAAGTATCACCATTTTAATACTCTAAACACTAAAACAGTTTCTTTTTATTACAGGGTATATTCCCCTCCTCTTCAAATCGTATCTCGAAGAGCAAAAGATTTCGAATCGGGCAGACCTTTGCCCGACGACGATCCCGTCCAAACGAATCGAACCAGTTTCTCAAAGAGCGAACTGGCACGATTGAGCTCAAAAATATTGGTTCCTAATGTAACTGAAAGGGCGCAAGAGTATGAAATTAAGGCTTCGGAACCAAGAAAAGATACCAGTTTGACCTCCACTAATTCGTCGAGTTCGATTTTGAAAAGGATACAAAGGGACAGTCGTTCATTGGACAGTTCAGGTGAGTTTTAGTTTTTTTTTTATTGAATATAAAGAAACTGTCAATTAGAAGGGCATTTGTGACCCCATTGTTGGTATTGTACTTGGCTGGGGAACAGTCGTCACATGTAGTGTTACTATCAATATTTCATTCAAATAAAAATGTATACCATTCTTCAACATAAGAATGCAGAGTATGGGGATCTGATAAACCACGGCTGTCCAGCTTCATGTGGCCCAGGGCCAGCTGTAGATAAAATTGCAGTTTTGAGGGCTGCATCATAAAATACTTTGTATGCAACTTGATCAAAGATTTGTAATAGGTACAAAAAAACTTTTGTTTGTTTAGTTATTTTTATTTATTTAAAAAATAACAAATTAGTGGGATGTTGGTTTTCATTTACAAGTGTATCAAAATTAACATTTTTATTTGTTGTTTGCAAACGAAACAACTAAGTAAGTGACTTATCAGACAGGGAACACCTGTATTTTAACTTTATACATTTCATGTTAGAAAAGCGGCTTTTACAAAGATACGTGCTTTTCCCAGTATTGAGCTTATGGTTCGCAAGTTGGGTAACGTTCTCCTGGAAATAAGTTAAAAAAGTTCAATCCTATTCTGGTTCTTCCCTGGTAAAAAGGATCTGCAAATCATACAATTCCTATTGAAGGTCTGCTCTGCTTACATTTTTAACAGAAATAGTAAGTGGCTGAGTAACAACTGATTATTTCTCTTATGATTTTCTCAAAGTCGCTAAATCAATTTTCGAATTCGTCTTAAACATTAAACTTTCTCAAAATTCTTAATTTCTTCAAAAATGAAGTGAAAACTTAAAAGCTTAATTTTATTTTAAATTATCTTATGTGGCAATATTCTGCTGCTTTACTTAATTCTTTAAGATGAGATGTCAGGTCTTAAAAATGCAGGGTCTGATAGAAATTTTGCATCTACAATTTGATATTCCTGTTCCGTAGTGTCAGACTTCACTTATTTTTAAGTAAAATGAGAATCTCCTTGCAAGATTCCTCTACTTCGGCCAAAAATATGTCAAACATCATGAAACTTTATGTGAGGCAAAGCCCAATTACCACTTCTTATAATATTAGGTGTTTTAACAGTCAATTCCATGCCATTAAGGCCTCTTGGTAAACAGTGCAGTATATCATAAAACTATTGACTTGTAAATTCTATTTCATTTCCTATCATAACTCATCAGTGACAATACAGGAACGTTTATCGAATCTCTCATAGTCTGATTCCACTTCAGCTTCAAAAATATCTGTAACCTTGGTTTTCTCATTGAAAGGAATAAGATTAGGCATCTCCTCTGCTCCACTCAAGTCCTCTTGAATAGTTCGAATAAAAATTGATGCCTGATGTCAGATAGGTCAGTGCTTTCGACAAGCAGAGTGAAAAATATTTGTCTGAGCACTCCGCCACATAAAGATTTTTTCGCTTTAATAATTTTCGACGCTACTTCGTAAGAAGCGCTAATACTGCGGTGTCAAGACTTTTTGACAAAATGTGTTGTTTTAGCATTTTTTTATAATCTGTAGTGACAGCATTTCTTGACTTCCCTCTATACTGCTGAATATTTTTCTTGTGTAACGTAGTGTAATGTCGTTTCATTTTATATTTTTTAGTAACTAATAGTATTGGGTGTTTTTTAGAGGTATAGAACTTTAAAATAAAATGAAACATCAAAATGGTGCTAATGGCCATCCATGGTATTGACTTTATTGGAAATATATTTATGTCATTTAATTTCGGGCATATGGACACCACAGCTGACTCGGACAAACTGCAATCTGGAAGTCCAATTTTTAACTACTCTTTCGAGCAGATGGAACTATATATCGGCAATAACGAGGCTAATGTTGGCGTCCAAGCCATCCAAATATGTTAGATCACACGATCTTGCAGACTAATTCACAGATCCATTGAATGTTTTGTTCAATAAATTCATTGTGGTGTCCCATGTGTGGCATGTTGCGCCGTCTTTTGAAACCATGGCTCTTCCACATTAATTCCATTCCATTGGGGACCGAAAAAGTTAGTAATCTTGGATCTGTAGCGCTCCCCATTGACTGTACCGTTCTGGTTGACTTCATTTTGGAAGACTAATGGACCAATGATTCCACCAGTTCATAAAGCACCAAACAATGATTTTTACGGATTTAACAACGTCTCAATAGTGACTTGTGCATTTTATTCACACCAAATGCAACAATTTTACTTGTTGATGTAACCATTCAACCAAAAATAAGCATCATAGGTGAACAAATTTTTATATGTATTGTACTGTAAGTTTCACGAACTGAACCACGAAAATAAATTTGCACAATTTGCAATCGCTGTTCTGGCGTTAGCCTATTCATGGTGAAATGGCAATCCAAATTGAGCACAAATCAGCTGTCAAATTGGCTGTCGCTGGAAAAAATGATGTCAATTCAATCAACAAACCCTACAGAAAACACCCTTTACTTGCATGACAACAAAGCGCTAAAATGTATTATGGTTGTTTGTAAATTAAATAGTCTGATTCCCAACATCATAAACTTGATGTTCGTTTCCTATTTTTCTGCAAAGACATTTCACTTAAAAAAGCTTAAATTGAGTTGCTGCATACTGCACACCATAACAAAATAACTACAGTTATAAACAGTTGAATGTGACAATAAACTTCACAAACACTATTCAACGGTTTTCTGTCTATGAGTCTATTTCATACTATTAACTATGTTAGTGCTCACGAATGACTCTCTAATGTTCGAGAGCGGTCCAGTGAGAATCGAGATATCCAATGTTCCACTGACTTCGCTGTGGTCTTATCTCCATCGCCAGTGACGTCACATGGCCTCTGTATGTGTTATTTTATTTCATCGTTGGTGTATATTTTTGTTTTCTAGGCATGTTTCTATATTTTTCTGGTCTACTATATAGCGGTTCGCCGGCCTCATGTTGGACAGCCCTGTGGTAAACAGTTGATTATACTGATTAGGCTAAATGGGGTAAAAATTGCCTATTTATTTAAGGGTATAATACACTGTATTAGTGTGATGTCTCTTGGACAAACATTTTGAATTATTATCATTATTATTTTAATATCACCGTTAGTAAAGTATATAACCAAAAGGGATGTATTATCGGATCGGGTATTTAGCCGATCCGGCCGGAACCGGAATTCTGACAGCTAGCCGCAGAGGACCGGCGGAATTCCGGCTGGATCGGGACCTATACGGAATTATTCTAACCGCTCAACGTTATTTTATAAGTTTTATGGTTTTATCTTTATATTCGTCGGTATTTAGGCAGTAACGCAAGCAGTGCTAGTGTCAATGAAGTCTTAATCGAAGGCGGCAGCGGTAAGAAGCTTTCTGGAAATGTCATGATTTCCAGCGGAAGTAAATACTTACACTGCCCTCCGCCCTCAGAAACCGAAAGGGGCAAGCCGCCACCAGGTTAGACTAATTTTCGTGGTTTTAATCCTTCCGAATTTCGCTTATAGTTTTGTTACTATTAAAATATTGTGAATAATACAGGTATTTGGTGATAATTATTTCTGCAAGGAAAATCACACTTTTAAATTTTAACGTTGAATAATTTGAGTGTTAAAATTGATTGAAACACCAACTTCTCTCTTTCACTGTAGCGATACATTTTGATTATACCTTTTAAATAAATATATATAATTTTAAGTTGTTTCATCATTATCTCCACATTTTGTTTTCTCCATTAATTCTCAAATCAAACTCAAGACCCAGTATAATTAATAATTAGGCATTCCAACGACCTGTCAAAATGGCTACCAGTGGGTAATGACAGTTTCGATATGGCAACCATGTTGTCATGTTGACATTAATAGGGTCAATGATACATATATAGTTATATAGATTGCTCAAAGCTGGTCGTTTGCGTACGGCCATATTGCCTGGCAAATATTTATTAATTTGAATCGGTTTAGCAAAAATGTGTTTTAAAACCAATTGTCAGCCTTTAGATATTTAAAAAATAATAACTGCTTACATTTTTACATCAAGGCATAAGCTTATGTTTATTTTGAAAAATATGGATGATCAATCTATGTAACTATCTATTTCATTGACCTTGTCAAATCACCAGGCCTACAGGGTTGCCATAATTTTGCCAGATCATAACCTGTCAAAACCCACTGGTAGCCATTCAGTTTGGAATGCCTAATACAGTAGTAGCGACAGCTTGAGTCGGCTCCTTTGATGTCGGGGGTGGTCAGATTTTTATTGATAGTTGACGTTTTTGCCGCTTATTTCTACACTGAAATAAGTAACTTTAAAATATCTTGACCCTTTGTCTTTTTGAATAAAATATCACACAATAAATGAAAGATGAAAACTAAGTCTAAATATAATAATAATGTATTAAAATTTACATTACAACCAATCAGATAATCAAAACGTATTTGCCGCTTATTTACGGACATGCGCAAAAAAATGTGGAACCTTCATAAACCATGAACTGTCGCTACTGTATTATTACTTATTACTTATACTGGGCTCAAGACTGAGCCTTAATATTATTTATTGTTGAACATAAGTTTGACTTGTTCTGCATAAATCACAACTCAAACAATAAGTGCGCCCAGTGTACGCCAGAACTAAACAACTTCATAAGGCACCTTTTGATGGCAAACCCAACTTTATCAGGAGATAATGATAAACAGTGTATTTCTAAGTTTATAAATTTTGTAACACTATCAGTGCAGCAAGCAAATTTGACATCTCGATATCCTGAACTACAGCCTATTGATGGTTTTACTTTTTTTTGCAAACGCCTGCCTTTAACATAATAGGCATATTTGTGTCATATTTTCTTTTAAAGGATAATGGGGTCTATTCTGTAACAATTCCTTTATATTTAACGGCCTTTAATAATATTGGCGGCCTTTAAAAATAGTTTCGTATTCGTTAATTTACTTCTATCATTATTTAAACAGATTTCTTTAAGATAGTCCTCTAATGTATTTTAAAGATCCGTTTAAATAATGACAGAAGTAAAGGAGAAAATATTTTTAAAGGCCGTTAAATATAAAGGAATTGTTACAGAATAGACCCCACTATCTGTAGAGGTAAATGTAAATCCTTTAACTTGTGGATAAATTTCAGTAGTATTTCATATTTTGCTTTTATCTCATCTAAGATAAGATGACCTCGTTTGAGCAGTTAAAGTATATTCTGTTGATTTTTCTTGTGACTTAATGTAAATAAATGATACTGGAAAACCAAATCTATTTGGGGTCTGTTCTCAGACATGATAGATATGTTTTGTTGTTATGGGGTGTCAGATACATTGCAACCTCATTGCGCCCCTTTATGTCGCTAAGGCGACAAGGATAGTCTCGACGTATACAGGGTCCTACTATTTAATAGGGACACTATTGCTATTTCTTAAACGGTAACAGATGTTTCGTTACTTGTTTGTATGCATTTATAAGCCGTGATGGCTAGTATTTAACATGGATTATGTAATTGTATTTACGGTTATGAAATAAAAGACCTTCGTCTAGAACCAACATTTATTGAATGGCTTCTGACCCGCTGTCAACTGTCAGCTCACCTACGAGTATTCTAATAGCTAACAGTTGTTACATTCATGACAACAGATAGATTGTTGGTTAAATTAGACAAAATGTGCACAGTTTTGTGCTCATTAAAATGGTGCAAGAAACCTTAGATATCGGACAAAAAATGAAAATTGTCATTTTCATTTTTTTTTTTCGATATTTTAAATCTCCCTTTAGATATAAAAGGTTTCTTGGTACCATTTTAATGAGCACAAAACTGCGCAACTTTTGTTTAATTGAACCAACTTTCTATCTGTTACCGTTTATGAAATAGCAATACTTTGAAATAGTAGGTATCCCGTATAACGACTCTCTCAATAATATCTTCTTAAAGAAGTTTAGGATTTGGTGTGGTTCCAAACTGAACAGATTGTCCTCTTCTAACTGGTATGCTTCCAAGTACAAATAGTGCCCTTGAATTCTGTAGTGCCACACATTCCATTCGAATTTCAGTGGAGGTTTCGTCCTCCTCCTCTTCACAAAATCTGCACTCGCTTTTGTCTACTAGACCAAATTCAAGAAGATATCTTTTGAGTCGCCAATGTCCGGTTGCTACGAGTAGCTTGTTCTTGTCCATACAGATACAGCCTTTCGATATTTCCTGGTTATAGTTAGTCAGAATTAATTTCCCTCTTAGCTCCAATAGATCGTTCCAATTGTTGGTTCTTCTACTGCCCATTTCTATTTTATCTCTCCTAATATTATCTTAACTGTTGATACCAACGAACAGCTCAGGTCCCAAAAAAGGGTGTGTGAGTCTCTTTACTTGCGAGACTTATCTGAATTTCGTTACCCTTCACACAGTTGTATTGAGGGAACCAAGTGAGAGTAACTAAATATTTCTCGTTCAGCTTATTCAGCTTTTCTATACACATTGCATATCCATACCATTTTAGAGCTAATTATCTCTAAAGGATAAACCCAAAATAGAAAAAGTTTTAGAAGTTGTTGTTGCGTCATCTGATTTCATTAAAGAAAATAAAATATAGTTAATATTGAAACCTGTTCATTTAAAATATATTCTTGATTCCAATGATTTATTTTAGATAGAGATCGACGATCGACCTGTTGCACCAGTTTCTACTTTTGAAATATTCAATATATTTATTTGTGAATAAGAAGGGTATAGTAAGGTATTAGATAATGTGCAGACAAAAGTCACCTAAACCACTTAAACCTCAATTTTCATTAATTTTTTGATTCGCGAAATCAAAAATTGGAGTAACAAATACAATTTATTCTTTTATAAAATAAAAAAAAGCGAAATTCGGATGTATTGTTTTCATTCGTTTACATGTTTGTTCTTTGACTTTTAGTAGAACTAACCGATATTTATATGAAGTGTTTTTATTCATTGAAACAGATTTTTATTCATGCTAATTGAATGATGCATAGCGTATCCCTCTGTATTCAAGATGAACGAACGAACGGTTCAAATTGAAGCGCATCTTTAGATATGAGATTAAAAATTAGTACAATATTGGTATAAAACACTCTATATATATAATAATTTCTTTTAGTGTATTGTGTAGTTTGATTGTTAATTAGGTATCTAACTGTAGTGTTATTGAAAATAATTGTTGCATTTTTTTTGTGTGAAGCTTATTAGCGCAGTTATGTGTATACTGAACAGAGAATTAAGGTATCCATTCTTTATATTTTGGTAATCAAGAAAATAAGATATAATTCTTGGAACCCTCGAGCACTGCTGAATCCTCATTTCAGCAACCAACCCATTTAATTTACCCGCTTTATTAACTTATCTCAACTTTAACTAATATATCCTAAAGAGGCGTTGCGTTGATATTAGGAATAATGTGAATTAGTAGATTCACTTGCGCCAATCGATTAATATGGCAAGCTTTAATATCATGCTTATTCTATTAGGAAAGTTGGAAGTAAAGTTGGAACCAGAGATATATTCATTGATAAAATATAATATTCGTGACGACGACATCGATATCACAGTCGATACAGTTGTAGATCAGGAGAAGAGTCATGTGGTGTAAGGTAAGGGAAGGGATAAACTGAAGGCCCTACAAAACAATTTTATCAATGAATATATGTGTAAGCCGTTGTACGCCGATAATAAACAATTTACAAAATGCAATCCCTGTTGCCACATCTAGTACAAAATATCCAACTTAACATTAACTAGGTTTTGGAATTTATTGAAAATTATTACATTTAATTTAGTTAAATTTGATATACCTAATGATTCATTTTTTTTTGGTTCAGTTGCAATAAAATAGGTTTAATTGTTTATGTATATAAAAATGATTGTAATAATGATAATACGAGAATATAAAGAACTCGCAGTTGCCAGTAGTCATAAAGTATGGTGATTTTTACTTTTCGCTAAGGCTCCCACATAAATGAAGGTAATCAATTTTACGGAAATAATGATAAGTAGGTATAAAATTAAGAAATGAATTCCTAAACAATCTATTGTGAAAACAAATTAAAACAAAGTAAAAAATCCGCGACCCCAAATAGAATTTGAACCTGTGATCTCTAGCTTGCCCGCCATTGTTTTAATGGCTCGAGTAACAGGGAACTTAATGTCCTGAGATTTAGAAATTAACTATACATGAAAGGTTCAAAGCCAACCAAGTTACCCAGGACGTTAAGTCCTATGACGGTCTAGCTGTTAAGCCAGTGGCAAACCAGATATCGCAGGTTTGAATCCTGTCGAGGTGCGCGGTTTTTTATTTTTTTTTGGTGGTTTGGGAATTATTTTCTCAATTTCCTACATATGTTCATTAGTTTTCGGATGTATAACCGACATAAATCATTGTCCATTTTCTTTATAATTATATGGAATGTACTGTGTTAGAAGTACTACAGCATTGCAGCTCTATT